TGTACCTCTGCATAATCGCGTCGACTCCATCACTCTGGACCAAGACAACGGAGAAATAGCGAGGCGCAGTCTCAATCACAGCACCAGAGCATCCAAGCTACACTGACTCATGGCTGAGACGACTATCGGATGAAATCCATCTGCGAGAGAGGATATCTTATCCCACAGCTACCCAAACACAAGCCACTGCACTCGTTCATGCCGGGCCATACAGACCGATCAAGACTCTATAGTTATAGGGCAATTGTATCGAAGGCCTCATCATTGACTGAAAAGGTCTCCTTCTTGTTGCCCATACACCCCACCCCACCCCTCTATTACAAACCCAACACTCCACAAGCAATGCAACCCAGAAAAACACATCAATATAGATATTCCTTACCTGATCGACACCCAAACAATCCACCCCCTTCACCAAAAAACTCGTCACATCCACCAACACCGTCCCCTCCACCGCAACAAGCTGATTGCCCGCCCCATACCCCTTCACCACCGCATTGGGATCCTCCCCCTCTTTATTCCGCTCCTCCTCCGGTGGATCCGGCTTATGACAATGCCAGAAATCCATCATCTCAGCCCAGTTCCCACTAGGAAGGTCTTTCCACACTTTACCACCCTCCATTATGGGGTTATGGCACTTGACGCACCGCAGGCGTGTATGCGCGGACATGTCTGTCGCTGTCCAGGGAATAAACCCGTCATTTAGGGTGGTTTCGTCCTTGTGCAGGGACGTGTCATTATCGTCTACTTGCATGCGGAAGGAGTATTCGCTTTCGCCTTGTGTGGAGGGTGGTCGTTGTTGGAGGATGCGACGGGATGATTCGCTGACGCGCGCGGGGAGTTTGATGGTTTCTGAGGTTGAGGTGGGGTCATCTTGGTTGGTGTTGGGTAGGGATGATGTTACAGTAACTGCGCGCCGCGAGTCTGAGAGGGTGATTTGGAGGTTAGACCGGGGGGTCTTTGGGGGGACTGAGATGTAGAGGGTTAGTTGGCGGATGTTGGGGAGGAGTTCGGCGTGGAGGTGAAGGGGTGTTGTTGGGTTGGTTTGTGATTCATCTTGTAGGGATTGTGACATCGTTAGTTTGTCTCTCTATGGCTGTGTTAGTAGTTATTTGTCTGGCGAGCATGGATATTCTCAGTGTTGGTTATTTGGTTGTCTGGCTGAGGGAGGATATTCGGAGGGAAAGACAAAGAGGACCGCGGAGGTGGGGATGCAAAGGAGACAAACAAAACGCGCGCTCACGTGAGTGCTCCACTATATCTTGCCTTAGGCAGAAAGGGAACTACATCTTTAACATTCAGGGTCACCGATGCGATAGTAACTGCAGAAATGATAATTTGCTGGAAAAAGGAACTAATGGTCTATCCCAGCTGAAGCGCATAGTAAAGTCAGGAATAACTACAGTGGTTTCATTCCAGCCATGATTGAATGTAATCATTTCACGCCTTGATCCTTAGTGTATACTCACGACCCCAACGACTTATGAACATTCGGCTCCAAAGGAAACACCTGGTCCTCTTCCCTCACGTCTTTATAAACATGTTCCCAACGTGGCCTTAGCATTTCCGGAGTCTCCCAGCCATACTCTTCGTCGCGCAGCCATAACCGGATCAAATGTCGCCTGCATTCACGATACATCTTAGCAAACGAACCCAACCAAGCAGTCAAGCTGGGGAACAGGAAATAAACATACTCATTCCCAGGCTCATCCACGAACCCATTCCGCGCATGAAAGATACTATGGTTATTAATATACTGGATATCACCCTTTTGAAAGTCTAGTGTAGCGCTATTCTCCTCAGCCAGGAAATGAAGCGCATCGAGAGCTTCAGCCTGGGCTTCAGTGATAGGAGGAATGTCCGGTGAGCGAGGTTGAGCCTGAAAACCGGTGAAGTAGCGACGGGCGTATTGCATGATGACGCGGTCCGGGGTGGATGCTGTGGCGGGCTGGTGAAAGAGGAGGGGACGGAGGGTGTAGGGGCGGGTTTTGTTGCCGAAGCTGGTTATATACATCAATGTATTGGTTCAATTATGCGACACTAGAAGGGAAGGTCTTACCCATCAAACGGCCAATCCTCCGACAGAGTATGAATCAAATCCGGACGCTCCCTTGCCAGGATATTATAGATCAGCCAACTACTAGCGATATAGCTCTCGCCGCCCTGGACCGACGGGTTAAGGCAAATCAAGGAGATGATATCGCCGCCATCAGTATGAAAAACCTGTTTATCAGCCGTATTGGACGGGGCCCCTACATCCGCAGCATCTTTAGTGCGCGTTAGATCCTTGATATGCGAAATCACCAAGGACTTGCCGTTCGTGAAGTGCGGGTCCTGCTGGCGGCCACGGAGGTTAGCCACGTAGGCAGAGACGCCGCAATAGATGATGATGTTCTCTTCGCGGGTATATCTGTCTACGTTGAGGCCGCGGAGGATGAAGAAGCCTCGACCTGTGTGGAGGTCTTTGGATAGGCTTCGTAGGTGGGTTTTGAGGTTGGGCAGAGGGAAGGTGACTTGGTTGATGTGGCCTAGGGGGAGGTTGAGGGACTGGAAGGACTTCAAGGCGGTGTTTATCTCGTCAAGCTGAGCTTCGTTGAGATGGAAGATCCAGTCGGTTGAGTTGTTGATGTCCTTTCCGTGCCATACGAGAGATGACTTGAGTTCGGTGGGGAATCCGACTGGTAGGGTGGTGGGAAGATCTTCTGTGGCTTGACGTCGTTGGGTGCGGGATGTGTACTTCTCGTAGTCAGGAAAATATTGGATATCGGGCTGGGTGGGATGGGGCATGATGATGAGCTTGGTTGAGATTGTGCTAGTACTGGTAGAAGAGATGGGCTTTCTGTGGTATTTGACGAAGATACAGGTTGGTTCAGAAGGCTTTTTATAGATTCTTGTATATAAATCAAGCAGGGACAAGGGTTAGAAAGCATTAACGCTGGAAGAGCCTAGTGGCTGACGCGATAGGCCATTTTGATGGTGTACCTACTGGCACTCGCCAATGAAATGTCCAAAGGCCTCACTGCGCCCTACGACGACATGCTCCATACTGGGCTCTACCTGAACCAATGTGGTAGGTGACCCCGGGATATACTTTCCTACGCCAAATTAGAGGAATGAGTGACCTTCATTACATCTCAGCCCTAACTGTGGTTATTACTACTTTGAGCGTTGAAGTGCCGGTAATAAATAACTACAATGAAGTGAAAACAAAGCAAGGCTAATTAAAATGATCTTCCATTTCATTACTCTGCACAAAACCTATTCATTAATGCACATTTTCAAAGTACAAAAGAGCAGAGAGATATCAACCTCCAATAACTATCAAATTTTCCTTCATTCGCCCACAAAACAACCAAATCAGACGAACCCACCCCAACAATTGAACTCCTCCCCAAACCTCACCGCCGCCTTCAGATAAAACTCATCCGCATCGCCCCACGTAGCCGCACACTCCTTATACGCGCGCAGCGCCTTAACATAATGCGCATCAGTCGAATGCTCACTCTTGACCGCCCTCTTAGCAGTCCAATTCCAATCGCGTCCACCGAGCTCATACTTGCGAATACGGTCGAGGTCGATCTGCGGACGAAGCTGAGCAATGTAAACGCACAGCGTCATGAGCCACCACTGTCTGACCAGAGACAGCTGGAACTGGGGAGGGATGAGGGGCAGTAAGATGCGGACAGCGTGGCTGGTAGTCAGGATGTGGACGAAGAAGAAGTCGTATTGTTCGCTAGTGCGATCTGAGTGGGTGCCAGTCAGGATAGCGACAGCGACTTCCTGGCTCTCGCGGAACTGGGCGACGGGGTCCTGGATTTTCCAGGCGTTCCAGTGGTTGAGGAGAGCGGCTTCGCAGTCGCGGAAGATGATGTCCATGTTGTTGCCGCCGGGGGTGCCGAAGAGGCCGTTGAACTGTTTGTCGAGGCGGACTTTGTTGAGGATGTCGAAGAGGGAGGTCGACTGGTAGGATGATTCGGCCTGGGCGTAGGATGGATCATCCAGATATTTGTGGATCGCGCTGTAGCAGGTGGAAGTCATGGCTAGAGCCTCCATTGCTACTTCGCGGCTGGCGAATTCGAAGGCGTATGCCATGTGGATTAGGGGATGGCCGACTGTGTGGGTTGGTTAGGGAGATGTTTTGATTGGGATGCTTGCTTGTTCAACGTACGATCAGCGATGAGAGAGTTGAAGATCGGCTCTTTTCCAGAGAACAGATACTCGTTGACGACTTGCTTCCAATCGTAGGACTGGCGGACGAGTTCATCTTCAAAGAAGTCCACAAAGGCACGTTGATACCTAATTTAACATTAGTAGCTGCATTTATTAATGAAACTGTGAATGAGCCATACTCTCTGCAACCCAGAAAATCTCTCCAATCAAAATCACTGATTTCCCCAGGAGCATCAGTCCAAGGTTCCAGATGCGTAGATTCCGCCTCATATACACGATGCAAGTCATCTGCATCAGCACCTTGCATGAAAGAGGAGCTCAGAATCTATGCATATTAGCAGCATTCAAACCAGTAAATGGGAGTCAACTTACATGCGGGGCATGATTATGAAATTTTCGATCATTGTACAATATGGCATGGTTCGCATGATTCAATTTCAGCAGATGTTTCAGCGCGCGCGCGGGCTTCTCATGGGCTGTATCAATTTCCTGGATCTTCACAGGAGGCAGCGCGAATAGCACGCGGTCCCCGAAGGGCAGCAACTTGCTGATCTGAGGTAGAAAGGAGAACATGGTTACTCTGGTCGAGACGGAGACTAGGGACTAACGACAGCTTAATCGCTAGGCACGGGCGACCCGATCTGTTGACGAGCCGTTGGAGCGGCCGGTCTTGGCGTTGAGATCGGGCGGTTTTCGAGGGCGCCGAGAGACAACTCGATGAACGACTTGACAAGTAGATGCACGCTTCAAAACCGTGAAGATCGGCAGAGTAGCAGCCTTATCGGTCTTATCAACTTCAGATCAGCTCTGATAATCGCGTGAAGAGAAGCACGAGGCGTGCACGAGGTCAACAAAGAGCAGGTGAGCCGAAGTGTGGGGAAAAGAGGAGCGGTTATCTGGAGTTGTTGGGATCGGCCCATCTCCCGCCTCTGGATATGACGCAATTCATGCTGCATTCACCGGAGATGGCTGCCACCAGTGAATCGAGTGAATGACTATTCAGGCTAAACTCTAGTATGCTCCATGACGCCGTGTTATATACAAAAAAGGTTCCAGAAATGCCTGAGCACCTGTGCTCGGGCCATTGTTCATCAGTTTCGCCCATATGCTCCCTTATTTCTCATGAAAGTTGCTAGGCACCACAACTTCTTCTCCGCCATCACCGGGGGCTACCTGGCCACTGATGATATCTACATCCATCCGCGGCCCGGTGAAGTTCTTACGTCCGTCCACAAACCATTGGAAAATCGACACCAGGAAAACGATGCCAAACACGGCTACACAGTAGTCTAGAGTAGACACGTTAGCAACTTCGTAAAGTGGATGCCGGATGAAAAACAACTTACTCATGTTGCTTCCAGTTGCAGGATAGTCAGGAGGGAAGAGGAAAAGTACGGTCGTGAGAGAAACGTAGGCTAGCGAGATCTATTCAGGAAACATGTAAGAATTCTGTGCATGCGTAGTCACCAAGTGAGACGTACCAAGTTTGCAATCCAGCCCACAACGTTGGGCAAAACAAAGGACCTCTCCGGTAGCATCTTCCGCCCGCGAATGCAGTTCACTGCGATAGGGATGCCGTACGCTATATCAAGCATGACCACCGATGCAGATACAATAGCGTTGAATGCACTGTTAAGGTTAGCATACCGCAAGATGTATTATTGCCTTTTTGTAGTTTACGTACCTTGACGAGCCAAGGAAAATACACCCGAAAATGATGACGAGGATGTTGGTAAGGTACAAAGCATTCAGAGGAACCTCAAGCTTGGTGTGCACCTTGCTGAAGAAAGGAGAAGCGGGGAGACCGCCATCTCTTGCAAAGGCGTAGATCATACGACTACTGGTCGTCATGATCGTGATAGCGGCAAAGAGAACACACACGAGAGGGAAGCTTAAGCATGTCAGTAAATGCGGACCGAAATCTTAGGAACAACTTACACGAGAAGGCAAATAGCACCGGCGTTGTTTTTCGTTGCATTCACGAAAATTTGCAGCAAAGGCGTAGCCGCGGAGTTGATATCTTCGTAGATGTTTCCAGCCACAAAGAGGAGAACGATCAGGAAGATTGTGCCAGTAAAGGTTCCAATACCGACGCAACCGATCATGATCTTGGGCCCAACCACCGAGGGGTTTGGAATTTCTATGCATGTTTAGTATGCGACGAGGCCGGTAGTATTTGGCAGATTTACCTTCGATCATGTGCGCGACACCGTCCTTATAGCGGTTAGTACCAGGATGCATAGTAGAGCTCGGAAGACTTACAAAGCCTGTGAGACCCAGTCCTCCTTGAAGGAGCTAGATGGTATGAGTAACAATCTTCACACAGAATTTAGGTAGTGAAACATACTCCGAGCAGCCAAGCAAGTCCATCAGGCCCTAAGAAATGTTAGCATTGGCCGATCAGAAAGGGGTGTGGTCTGCCTTACATCCTGTTTCGTTGATGAATTCTCCGAAGACGAACCTATTGAGTCAGCAACACGTCCAATGGAAGTCAGCTAACGGCATTACTCACTCGCCAGAGTTGTAGTTGGGCGACGAGCATGCCAGCAGGGTGATGCAGATTATAGTGAACCCGGTAAGGGACCAGATAACTAGAGACACGTCAGCTTTAGATCGATATCCCCAGACGGACAATTCTACTTACAGGCACCCTTAGTAACCTTGGGAAGGAGTGAGCCCATGAAGGCATTGATGAGGAATGCAATAACGTTATAGGCGATGTAGATGAGGAACTGATGCCAGCGTTGCGACACATATGACTGTTGGGCTGTGAGTAAAGTGTTCGGGTCTAAAAGCCAGCAAAGGACTTACGGGATGCATCAACGAGATGACACCCAAGATCAATTCACTTCCGAGAAGACCACCAGTTGCAGTCAAGGCAACCTGTAAGAATTAGCAGCTGCATGCACAAATAAGTCTTGTACACATACCCAGCCAGTCACGTTCGCCCATCCTGTAATCCACGAGAGAAGGGGCATCCATCTTTCCCAGGAAACTTTCATCTATCGTCAGCAAGGAAGTGATATCGAACAGGTTATGGAAAACCTACTAACTGTAGAGGAAGAATAGTCAGCACCGTACCGAAATAGTCATGGAGTATAAATCAAGAATACTCACCTGCAACCCAATGGTATTGTCCACCAGCACTAGCCAAATTAGTCCAAAGCCCAAGAAGCACAACCAGAAGCACCTACGTAGGATAGGCCGACAAGAACTCGGCAAGGGAAGCCGACATGCAAAGATTACAGACACCAGCCGTGATCAACCCTAGAGAAAACAGGAGTTAGCAGAAGGATCTCACCTACTACCGACACGATCAAAGCAAGAAACATATCCGCCTTGCAGAGTAGAAGCAGGGATGAACCCAAAGCACCAATGACTTACCCCAGATGACACTAACGCAGCCACCAGACGGCAGACTGAGAGATAAACTGGCGGACAGAGCGGTCCATGACTGCGTGCAGACTTAATTAGCTACCAACTTCCTGGTGTGGCCTAGTACCAGAGACGGTCTCTTATCGACATCAAGCGGAGGCGTTGATTTGCCGACATACATTTAGAATGGCAAACGCTAAACCCAACATTGACCTGCATCAACCACAACCATCCGTCAGTAGTGGTCCACGTGAAAGGTAGATCAGCAGCAACAGCAGCATGGGAGAGGCAACATACAGCATTGAGAAATTGCGGTTCAGTTCGGCCTTGTGGCCCATGGCCGCCAACTGGGCGTCATCATCTCCCCGAAAGTCTTTCATGGTGGGACAGGGTGTATCAATTGTCGAGTATGTGCCACCAGGGAAACTAGACAGGTTCAAGGGAGAGTCCAAGAGAGAGGATTAAGGGGAGGGAGGAAAGAAGAAGAAGGAGGGAGGGAGGAGGAGGAAGGGTAATGATGAATAAAGAGAGAGAATGTAGGGAATTCCGTGGGAAAATAAGAGAGAAGGAGAGCACGTCAGCCCAGTGAGGATGAACGGCGACAGCGGAAATGGGAGGAAGGGAGGGAGGGGTGGTCACGGAACAAGGCTTCCACGCCCAAGCCCGTCATTACGATGAATGCCATCCCATCCATTATCCACCGGGATTATCGCAGCTCAATCTGGGAGGGAGCAACAATGAGCCCCGAGGTATGGGAAGCCAAGGGCAGCTCTGGCTGGTCGAGGAACGGCGAAATTGCGGGGAGGGAATCGCAGTGGCGGAGATGCTCCGTCGACTGTTACCTAATGGATATGGGGTAATATCAAACAGGTACAACGTTCACTGCAGAGAACTACCAGTCAGTTCCAGCCTTACTTGCTTCTCAACCCACCATGGGACTGAATTGATAAGAACCCCCTGGGTGCGACTCAAGTTGATTCGTGCACGGCGCCGAAGTCGAAACGCCGACCGCCAGTCAGATTCGAGATGGTGGAGGATGGGCTGCTGGAGAAGGCCGGAGTCTAACCGGGTTTGGGTGACGGAGACGAAGCTTATTTGGCCGGTGAAACATGGATGGCAAAAGACGTGCTCCGATTCCAGCAGAGATAAGCTCCCGCATCAGGTTTAGATATCTCATAGTTATTATGCCCCATGATGAGAATGTGGCAACACTGATTATTAGGGCAGCCATTGACTCACGGGAGTCAACCGATCTTTTATCAGGAACCGATAAGAAGATAAGTCCCATCCCCATATTTTCTCCTTTATACCCAAGATATTAGCTGATTATCTTCCCTTGACAGCAAACTAATACCCATCGCTAACTGGAATACAAGGTCCCCCCTAAACCTATTCGGGTTAACGCATTCGGATCCCGACGTTATGAAGCACACGGGCTGCATGCAGTTTCTGCCTGCATTCTGGAAAGATATAATTAATTGGATAGTAGCATGAATGGTACAATAACATCATAATCTCTTCTCACATGATATGCAGTCATAACAGCTATGATATATGTATAGTATGTACACCAGCCCTCCAGATGGCCGCATATTATGACGCATAATGCAGGTCACCTGGTGGCACTAGGAATCAATCGTCCAGATCTTCTTCCTCATCATTTGGACACCCCATCCTGCGCCAAATGGTCAGTACGGATGATGTAGTCTTCATCACCGCCGTTGGCCACTCCATCCTCATCATCCTCACCAACATCCTCGTAGCCTCGCACCGCGCCCCGGTCGGCTGTAGGTCCGTCCAAAGACGAATCCGAGTCGCCGTTCGGCATCGCCACGAGCTTGTTCTTCGACTTGCCGCCTGTTCCTGCAGGACTCTTCCCCTTGCCCTTTCCACTAGTCGACTGGCCACTGGGAACTTGCTTGCCTTTACCCTTTCCGGAGTCGTGGGCATGCGAGTCTCCGTTGGTGGTGGGCCCGTCCATACTGAACTCCAGTTGGTCACCGGCTTTGAGTGCCTCCAGCACTTCTTCAATAGTTTGGGGCGCGGAATTGCCCGACTCCTGCTTCTGCTTATCAACCGATTCGAACGTCTGTCGGATCCGCTCGAAATGTTCCAGTTCCTTGGCACTGCACCGCTGTTAGAGCTGCAAAGCATGAAGATAAAGGGATCAGTGGCGGTAACTTACCTAACACTAGGAACCAGCTCATCCTGTGCTTCCTTGAAGTCATCCTCCGTGACCATCACCGCGACATCCTCCGGCGTTGCCAAATGGTCGAAGAAGTACGCCGTGCTGACCGGCTCTCCAGGTAGTTGCTTGATCTTTTCGTCAACAGCCGTAGCCTTGCGCGTAATGGCCTTGAGCATAGCATCCGAGCACAAGGCGTACAAATCTGCACCCGTGTAGGTCAGAGGCAGCCGGTCGGCGACTCTGCGGAGCGACAAATCCGGCGACAGTGTGAATTTCCTCGTCAGAGCCTCTAGAATAGTAGATTGCTTCTCATGAGTATCGGAGACACCAAGATAAAGCATCTTATCGAACCGACCAGGACGGAGAAGTGCTGTGTCAAGGAGGTCGGGCCGGTTGGTAGCACCAATGACAAAGACGCCACCGCTGTTTTCCTCGCCTCCATTCATACCATCAAGCTCCGCGAGTAGTTGACTGACAATGCGGTCCATGACACCGCCACTATCTCCTTGGTTGCCGCGCTTGGGTGCGACCGAGTCCAATTCGTCGAAGAAAACGACACAAGGCCGGGCATCCCGAGCCCGCTGGAAAACTCGACGTACGTTCGCTTCAGACTCTCCAATGTACATGTTAAGAAGCTCCGGTCCCTTAACGGAGAAGAAGTTCAAAGAGAACTCGGTGGCGATAGCCTTGGCGAGCAATGTCTTTCCAGTACCTGGAGGTCCGTAGAATAAGATACCACTTCGCTTCTTCATGCCTTTGGCGAACAGCTCAGGTCGCTCGAGCGGTAGCTGAATGGTTTCAATCAAAGCATCCTTGACGTTGGTCAAACCACCCACGTCGTCCCAGCTGACATTGGGAATCTTCGGTGCACCGATAGAATCAGCAAAGTTCTTTCTGGCGGCATCAACTGCAGCATCGAAGTCAACCTTCGTAACTCCTCGTGCTGCGTCCCCACCGGAGACCAGCACATCTCTGAGGCTAACAGCCTGGCCAGCATTCTTGCTTGCCAGTTCTGCCAACTTCTCGAGGCGCGCCGTCCTTGCGGCTGAGGCTCGCTCAACAACATCCACCAAGTCTCCCGCAACGAGAGCAGCAGTCTTCAGCGCCACAGTGGACAGGTCAACATCCGGCGATATTTTGATGCCACGCTCGGTGACTGCGTTGCGCAGAATCCCCTCACGTTCTTTTTCCTCCGGGGCAGTCATCTCAAACTCATGCGTAAACATGCTACGAATGCCTTCGGGGATCTGTTCGACATCCGTGGTGGTCGCGATCACGACTCGCGCATCCGCCACAATATCAGCCATCGCCGAGATAATACGGTCTGCAGTCAAGACTTCAATATGCTTGATCAGAAGAGCCGTACATTCCGGCCCACAGTGGAAAGCGCGCTCTGCTCTGGCCTTCAAATATGCTTCGGTCTTCACGTCACCTCCATTCGCACCACCTTCGGTCAAAATGTCGTATGCATCGATGGGGAATGTATGAAGACCAATGTCAGCACAAGCCCGGTTTGCGATAGTTGCCTTGCCGATATGCCTCTGTTGAGACCTGATCAGAATGACAACAGGCTTCATGCCGAGCTGGATTGCACGGGGGCTGGTTGCCACTGCCATCAGGTCTCGAATGCGCTGCTGCAACGGGGGAATGAACGACTGTGGAGTTTCTGTGATAAGACCATGCGGAGTCGGAGCGTCGTTGGCGGCCCGTGGAACTGTCTTGACTCCAAGCCAGTATTCCCATCCGTTGTTGATAGTGCCTGGTACCCTGCTGACATCACTACCCGCCTGCACCATTCTGGTAGTAGCTGAGTCGATAACAGCGACACCTCCCCACTGATTCTCGGACCCATCCTGTTCACTGGACGTGCTAGGGATGACCTGCCCAACACGGAACCAGGCGACGCCCACTTTCTTGGATGCAGTGTTGTTAGTATCAGTAACCTGGCCCAGACGATTAGTCAGATCATCATCTTGAGCACCAGTGTCACCACCCGTTGTTACAGGGAAGACAGCTCGACCGAGTCCCTCGTCCACGCTGATTCCCACAAGATCACCACCCTTGAGTAGTCGTCGCTTCGATTCAAAATATTGCTTGAGTCCAGCAAACAGGGCCGGTTGGAGAACACGGTCCATAGACAGCGGAGTAGACACTTTAAGCAAAGTTACTTCCTTCGCCAAAGGTGGGCTCCGCACGACACTGGATTTCACCTGGTGCAGGAGACCAGGTCTGACTCCATTAGCCCCAGCAAAGGTGATCGGGGAAATACGTAGATATTTCGGGTTCTCAAGGTTGTTCAAGAGCAGAGGCGGGACGAAGACGGAAGGAGTCAAGCGCGTTGGCGCACGCTGGGAGATGCTCGACCGTCGCTCGCCAGACTGGTTAATCGAATACCGAGGCTTAGCCGATGGGAGGCCTGGGAGTCCGTATATCTTAGCAGCACGCCAATTTCCAGAGTCCTCCTCTTGTTCGTTGAAGCTTCCGAGCTTGATAGAGGCGAACATGTTCAGCTGCGGCTCTTCGGTGGCCTCAATCCTGACCCAGTCTCCTGAGAAACAGCCAATCTTCGCAAGTGTACTAATATCCACAAAGATGAAGAATTCGGTATCATCATCTTCCCGTGGCCTGGGGTGGAGAAGGTCGCTCGATACCCTCCGAAGCAGACCTTCTGCCTTGAAAACTTTCCCACCGTTCGTTTTCCCAGGACGCATGGTCGTGGAGGTGAAGTTAGACGCCACGGAGCCAGGAGTATGTGTACCGTCTCCACGGCGACCACCTGCCCGGGGTGTGGCAGCAGTCATCGCGGACATGACACCAGATGGCGGTTGAGGTAGCTCAGGAGCAGCAAGAGAGATCATGTCGTCCAGAGAGTCGTCCGATGTGTCGCTTGCATTTCCTGACCCTTCCGTCTCTGACTCGTCCGCCGTCGATGTAGCCTCAACCTCTGTGCTGCTCTCCACCGGCTTATCTTCCGCGGCGGAGTAGAACTGTTCGTTGGACGTGTCATCGGCCTCGTCTTGCGCGACTTGCTTCAAGAGACCCGAGCTCGATCGTAAGCTTCGCTGAGACCGATGGCCCTGTGGCCGTGCCTGAATCAAAACCACTTTGGTGGTCGGCATCAGCAGGCCCTGAGAAACCGGCTCGCAGTATGAGCTGCGCGCGGGCGGAGACGGAGCATAGGTGATGGGATGGGGTGGCAGTGGAAGGGGCAGTACATCGCCAGTATGCACCACCTTCTCGGCTCCCAAAGCATGCCGTACAGCAGCCGTCAGCCTGTCATCTGTCTCCGCGGCCACCTTCTTCGACTGCTTCTTGGCATCGAGACCACCTTTCCCTCCCTTTGCCCAATGCCCATTAGGTCCATTCTGACTAGGTGTGAAACCTCCACCGAACTTATTCTGCACATCGTCGTGGTTGCGAAGAAGATTCCGCTCCACAGTCACGTAGATGGTGTCCAAAGGTAGAGGCGCAACATCCAACAGCTGGATCTCAATGGGACGTTGTGCTTGGAGGGTATGACGGGTGGGATCAAGCTTGCTCAAAGCATCGGTAAATGGCTGCAGAGAAGTCGCCGAGTGTGGAAAGAGGACAGTGTTATGAGGGAGCGGCGACTGGGAAGAGCGTTCTTTAGACTGCGGCCGAACGGGGATGATAGTCCAGGCTAGATCCTCAACCGCGTTGGAGCCCGCTAGGTACGGCGAGATGGCGATGTAGTGGATGTCCGTTTCCTTTCCAATTCCTTCTACAATGCCGGTGAGTTCCAAGTCAGCGGTGTAGTACAACCCTCGTGCGGTCATGTTTCCCTTACCGATAGTGGAGTTGTGGAAGAGGTCGCCGGCCAGATCCTCGGACACAACCCCGACATTCCCGCGGAGCTGGGGATCGAGCGAGAGGCGGGCAGAGATGGGTGCCCGGTTGCGCATCCGTCGTCTCACTGCATTCCGTCTCCGCCGCCTGGGCTGATCTGAATTGTTGAGGTCACGGTGTTCAAGGTCCATGATCGGAGGCGCTGGTCAATTGCCGTGTGCTTGGGCGGGGAGTGATGGGTGTCTTTCCGCGACACAAGATAAGGTGAGGGGGAAACGGGGAATTGCCACACAGAGAATGAAGAAGTGGTCACATTCCTCGCCTAGTAGCGACTCAACAGAATGGAAGGAAATGGAAGAGAAAGTCACGGAGGGGACTAGTGCAGAGGAAGAGAGAAGCGGAGAGTCGCGACACAGTCCGGGGAGAACGACGAGGCCGCAGCTGCTGCTCCTGTTGCTCGGCACCGCCCGCCCTCGTTTCTGCCCCTTCCCGATGCCGAGGTTCACAAGATCGTCCATCTTTCCCCAACTTTGGGGTCTTCCTCCCTGATCCACTCTTGACACATGGTGTGTTTTCCACATTCCTGGGTTTGGGTGTGGTAGCATTGAATTTCAATCTATTCTTCTATTGTACACGCTCTCTTCCGGAAATAGCCAGTACGAGTAGTAATAAAGTCTAGCAGTCTGGCAAATTCGGTTTGTGATGACTGAATATAAATCTCACGCCGCCTTCCGCCGTACTCCAATAGTACTCAAGAACAGAAACGCTACTCAGTAATGCTAGTGTCAGATACTAGTACTACTGTAAGCAGAACTCTGACAACAGAACTGACAGAATCCAACCCAACAGACTGTCCCAGATACAAACCTCAAATCCCCGAATCATCCTGAAACCTCCCATTCGGGTTCCAATGATTTGAAGCATTCGCAAACCAAACATCCCAATTCTGACACGTCCTATCCAATTGATTTCTCGCAACGGTGGAGTCTTCAATGCCCGCCTTGAAAGCCGGCTGCTCTTCCAGGACCTGGAAAGCCAAGCCCGCAGAAGCATGCCATGCAATGTGACAATGTAGGGTCCAGGAGCCTGGATTGTCGGTCTTGAATGCGATTACAATAAACCCATTCTGCGGGAGAAGGACAGCATCACGACGGTGTGGGTTCTCCAGATTCAGGTCTAGGTCTTCGCTGCTGTTGTACTTGTCGGTGGAGTATTGTAGGACGGCGAAGTCGTGGCCGTGGAGGTGGATCTTAAGGAGTTAGGAGATGCTGTGACCTGGATCTTGAGGGACGGGAGGGGTGGAGCATATTACTCACTGGATGTGCGTTGGGAGCCAGATTGCCTCCAGTTACTGGGGGTGAAGCGACGATGTTACCCCCGATGATCAGCATGTAGTTCCATGTGATCTGCGCGGGTTGAGCTTCAGCAGCCAAATAGATGACAGCACTACTGTTATATGGAGGATCAAGATGGTTGACAGTTGGCTCCGCGTAGTTCACCCACAGAGTATCGTTCAGGAACTGCCAAAAGTTGACAGTCGCCTCTGGTTCGTCTCCCACTGCTGAGAGATTCCATTGGCCGATGGTAACGCTCAATGTCTCAATAGGCGACTGCGCCATGGTATATCGAACCATTGGGATGATGGGGGGGTGGCTCATCAATGGTCCAAGGGACGACCGGCACCAAATCTAGCATATCACTGCAGGTGTTGTTGTATTGGTGTGCATTTGTCGTCGGAATCGGTGGATGTGAGCCGCCTCCGTACCAGAGGATACCCTGTCTGGTGTCTGGGAAGGTTTCGAAGTTGTGGCACCCAGTAGCAGGGTCGGTTCGGATCCAGTAGGCCATGTTCATGGAATCACTAAAGTCGGTTTTTGTTTCGAGAAGGATATGGTATCTCTGGCCTGGGCTCGGTTAGAATGTGCGGGCGGCTCTGATTGAAGTTGTAATTGGGAGGAACATACCTATCCCAACGTATATATGGTCTGTCGTGTAGGGTTGGACCGGCACCAGATCCATGCCGACCACCGTGAGGTTGTGTCCGTCAATGCTGAATATAAAGGTGGTATCGGTTGACCCATTGATAAGCCTGAGGATGTATTTTTTGCCCTGACTATCAGTCAGTTGCCGATAGACGGATTGCTATAAGCCGAACAAGATCATTATCTACCGCTTGAACCCTCTTATGGTATCGCCTTTCCGGGAAAGAGCCAGCATAGCTCCCTATTATTTGTTAATTCATAATACGCTGTGCCAAAGGAAAATAAAGTTCCCCTGACATACCATGTCCATTGAGCAGGATACTCGTCTGTTTCGGTGGGACTCGGGTCGAGTTATTCGCAAACTGTTCTTGGTAGTATAACTGGAAAGCGCTCTGGTGATTGTGATCCGTGAAGATGATTGGGTCAATGGCCTTGTCAAAGTTTGCCGATGTTGGTCCATGGATGGTCAATGGCCCCAACACGCCATCAGAGTACTGAAGACTATAGTGACTATGGTACCATGTTGTACCATACTGCGTTGTATTGAATACATAGCTGAAGGTGTCTCCTGGGGCAATGGGGCACTGAGTTACCCCAGGCACACCATCCATGAGGCCATTGCTTAGCATTCGAAGTCCATGCATGTGGATTGCGGTTCCATTTTTCCTGAGATTGTTTTTGACGGTGATATCTGGTGCCGTTAGTGTGAGCAAAGACAAGCTATGCACACTACTTACTAATCCTGTCTCCCCAGCATGCCTCTAGTTTTTTGAGCAATAGTCTGACAAGTTATTGATAAGGCGGCACTCACGGATCCATGGCCCAGGATAGCTATTATTAAAGACCTTGGCATAGGGGAACTCAATTCCGTCCAGATTCAACGATCTTTCACCCACCGTGAGGATGTACTAGACCTGGTAAATCTTGGCAATATCCTTCAGATCAGCAAGGTCAACATACCTTGCGCTCAATACCAACAGGCCATCTCGTTTCATAGTCCGTGTTTATGTCAAAGTCCAGGGACAGATTGGTCCGATGTTTAAGCCAAACACTCCGATTCTCCGGCTTAGCATTGTAGATATACTCGGCTGCCATGGAAGGATACTGACACCTAAAAGGCTCGCCTATGGTCTCTTCCGCAGCACCAGGGGGTATGAAAGAGAGGTCTTTGGGAGCAGGAGGTGTGAGATCTGCATCATCCAACTGCAGTGGGTATTGCAGTGAGGGTTGTTGAGATGCATGAAAGGATGAAAATCCGAAGTAAGTGATAATAGCGATAAGGTAGGTTTGTAGAGTCATTATGAACAGCAGTCTAGCTTAAGGACTTCAAGGCATACCACTTTCGATGTGGAGTTGCTCACCACAGAAGGATTGTGTCTGTTATATGAGAAAAGCAAACAGTGTAATATGTCCTTGTCCAGGCTGGGCTGGTATCATGCTGCCTCGATGATCCTTGACAACGAGGCAGACCGTTAACGAGAAACTTTGCTTGTTCATACGGGCTCGGGCCACTAAGCTAGGAGATTATTTGGATGCTCGAAGAGACGTTCCCTGGAACATTGCCGTGGCTTGCGTCTAACAAAACAAGCGAGGCCGGATATGGCAGTATACTATCCAATGGATCTTATGGCATCATGTGTCGGTGCTGCCAGATTTGTTATGTGCCGAACTGCTGGCTAGCACTGAATCTCTGATCCTAGTTCTTCAGCTCGACACGTATGGATCCTAATCCCTGAGAAGGTTCGAGATATGCCAGTATAAGATCAATGGTGTGCTTCTGTTCAAGAATAAGACACAGGCGTGCTAAGGAACGTAGAATACGAAAGTCTCAGGCAGCCTTAAAAGACCCTCTCGGGCTCACTATGGTCAGACAGGGCACGCATACGCCATTGAGGCTGAATTGAGTTTGAAAATACCCATAGATCAAGTCATTGAACCCAAAGTAATGTCCGAGACATGCCTACGAGCCAACAGCGATAAGTGAGTTACTTCTGGATGAATGACTCCAGTCATGACGGCCAAGCAATGTACATCAGAAGTTGATGGCGTTCGTATCGGGGACTGCTGAATCTAGTCAGCGTGACCAGCCTCCGAATAAAGCAAATACAAATACACTTCTTATGCCCTGACTGTCATCATAAATGATTGGGATGGTTTAGTAGCTGTCCCGTCGGCTTCTCACTTCGTAGTAAGCGGCAAGCGAGCAGCCCCGTTGATATATCAACGAACTTTATGATCATCTGCCGCTGAACTTCGCAAGCTCAAAGCGTCCCTATCCAATGAACGCTTTTATGGCATTGAATGCCACTGCCTAGACGGGTTACTGGCCAATCCACTAGGTTAGACGATCTAAGATAGATACGAAGTGCATATTATGTATCCCGGTCCTCCGATATCACCATGCATGACCCGGATATTAATATCCGCCTTGACAAGCACTTATATATCGAATAAGCTGTCATGGGGCTTTTTTTTTTTTTTTTTTTTTTTTTTTTTTTTTTTTTAGCAAATACGGGAGTTTGTTGAACCCTTTAATGGCATAACAGTCTTTCTTATAGCATAAGATCAAAATGAATTATGCAGCGCATGAAATGAGGTTTATCGTCCCCAGCTGTATCTCTAACACACTGCTCATGCAAACATAACGAAGATTAGGCTTTCAATTTACTCCCATATGGCCAGATATGTACTATGTTGTTGTGCTCTACTCAAGTACTCTCATTAGGAGACATGTGATTTAGCATATGATAAATCATGTCCGTCCGGCGGATCCTATAGTCACCAGAAATATGCGACAAAAGGTGTTAGCCGATGTTTCACAATTCCACCCAGTCGGAGTTTATCAACAATTTTTGAACTCTCAATCGATCGGTAGGCGGATGTTTGCGTATGCGGGTTGCAAAGAGACCCCTCGCCCTCTGACATATGAAGCAACCTCGTTGTTACTATAGTTCTTGCGCGGCCTCCAAAAGTAAAATCTGAAAGGCCAGTGGACAGCTGAAACCCGTGTTTCGAGATAGGATGACCCTGGAAACCAGGAGCCGCACGACTGGTAGCCGGGTCATTCTTGTGCGATCCGTGCGACCATATCCACAATCGACCCATTGCTCCGGGTGTGCCCTTGAGACTGAAGGAAGAATGCACGTATTGTTGATGGCTCATTTGCCCGATACGCGTCGATTGATACGAAGAACCAGCCACCCCTAGGACTGACCGACATTTACTGTGTAACCGACATACGGAACTGACCAGCACCACGCAGGTTATTGGTTGCCCCTAGATTTCGAAGCAAGACTCGCTTAGGCTCGGTCAGAAGTGGTACAGCTATGCGGCTACATTCCAAGATCGACTTGGAGGATACTCGCCCTGTCTTCGAAGCACACAGCAGCGTTAGAGCCTCATATTCGAGACAGCATATGCGACCGGATTGAGCCTCGCGATACCGGCTGTACATTTTACATGCTGTCCCATTGAGGTCCATGAGGAATGTCCGTCGCCACAGTTCTGGTTGGAATTGTCTTTCTAGATCGCAATTGGTGGGAGTGTCGGCGACAGCATCGAAGAAGCAAAAAGAGCATCCTCCCTCCGTCCAGGCCGGGCCATCGTGTGATTACCTACTGTAGACCACTGCGTTATCAGCCACCTATTCATAGGTTACATCTTCGGATCCAGAACGGACCGCTTTAACCTCCTTTTCTCTCCCCAGCACTGGGTCTTGCAGTAGCTGGCTTGGCTAACACAGATGTCGCTCCTTTGTGATCAGAAAAACCTCATAGAAACGTACCCGTGCTAGTTACTGCCCTATTCAATGCCGATCTGAATTAGTTAGCTCTTTTCAATTAGTAAACGAACATCAGTCGATACCCAAATCATGCCAATGGAAAAATAAGCGACGATCATTTACCCTTCCCTTTGCAGCAAGTGTGCTGTCAAAGTTTTCGCAAGCCTTTTTCAGGGAAGCTCCTAGGATAGTAGCGCAGAGTCAAATTTCCCTAGTGTCCGACTTAGCCCCGAGACAACCCCCTGATAGCTCGAGCTTCCACGAGAGAGGGGGGAATTCACCCACGGCCATCAGATGCAAGTTCCTGGGTTTTGTGTAGGTCTGAGTGGGCTTTTACTGTATGGTGCACACGTCTCAGGAGGGGTCAGCGGGTATGCTTGGAAACCATAGCGGGTAGGAAAGTACCGTTGCTTCTTTTCTATGAAGCTGACCAAGAATGATACGGCGTAATCATGTATGCTCTCCTTGAAGTTCGTAGATCGTGTCGAACCAAGACAAACTATGAGGACCCTAGGTTTGTGGGAGGATATCTAGAGTGAATTTGGACTAGTATCTCGATGGTTAAGTGGGTATATTGAAAAAGCTTCACATTACCATGGCATTCGCCGACGATAAAGTCGCATATTGACAATAATTTACGGAATTAGACATGGTGCCTTTTCCGGTAAACAGGCGAACAAATGTGAAAGGTATCGGCGGTCCAACACGTTTAATTTCCGCCTGAATCCAAATCCTAAGGATTTCAAAACATGATATGTTCCATCTCTCCCATTCAGCCCCTTCTGCATTCATTCTGGCCCTATTCACAGGATCATGAACCCCTGATTATTTTCATTGGGGTTAAATATTCAGGAACAACCGACCCCTTGGGTGTACGTAGGTGGTCTTAGATAAGAAAGCGCGTCATACAGAGATGAATGGACCTGCTTAGTGAGGGGAGTGGCCCAGGGAGTGATAGGCAAAGATATTTCTGGTACCTGTTGATTACCACGAGACAAGCCACGTCTCACCAGTGAGCAGATGGCTGGAGATGCAACCATTCAGGTCAAAGAAGGATCTTCCTGCACCCTAACGCGAGATATTTGACACGGACTGCAATGAGCCCAAAGTGGTGAAAAGATCACCAGATAAACCACCAGACAGGCCAATTGATGAGCAGGCTAAAAAAAGCTCCGACTACAGTCAGGACAGTCTGCTATGTATAGTACCTGCAATTAGTGAGTGTTCGATGGAGTGTCAACTCTCAACGGCCGACAGGGGGATCCCGTCCATGTCCCATCAAAATTGTGCTGCCTTCGATGGCGGCAAGAGCACGAGATAATATATAGAAACGGCTGGAGAGAAGCCCATTCCGCAATAAGTTTAGTGTTGCAGCGTTCGATACACTCTTGGCCATAAGAGGGAAATAGCAGAGAACATGACAGGTTTTGGGGCCTCATACCTTGGTCTTGATTGTGGCGCAGCAGACATCAAGAAGCCGTGACATGAACCACTTCAGTTAGACTACACAGTTAGACCAAAACAGCTTTCAGGTCACTGGGCTCCTGAAGCAACCCCACTTTTGTTCTAATGGTCCTTCCTTCTAATGGTCTGTCCTCCCTAGTTAGATAATGTCTCACTTCGGATTACCGAGATTTGAGCTAGCCTCGTATTGAAGGACGTCCCGGTCGGGGAGTGAAAAAAAACATGAGGGGAAAAAAAAAAAAAAAAAAGAAAAAAGAAAAGAGGAGGCCTGTCACACAAGTAATCCAGCCAGCGACAGACCATGTAGGGCGAGAGAAGAGATTGACTCCCGCGCGTCAGCGGAACAGATAGGAAAGCCACTCTGAATATTATCATTGGCTGTTGCCCTGCTGCAAGCGGTCGGAGACCTTCCAATCAGTGAAATGTTGTTGGTAGTTAAGGGGGATGCCATGCACCTCATCGTCATAACGATGAGGCTCATTAACTCCAATGTACTCCATAGTCAGTAGGGAAAACACAAGAATCCACGAATGCTGAGGCTTGCGAGAATTTTGGTGCATCAGATTCGAATCAGGCTACGTGGGTGGCTACGAGGCGATTGGGGATTGGCTCAGAAAAGATCAGCCTGTCATAAGAGGCAGATCCAATGGCATCAGCGTTCGGTCCTCCAGGGCAAAGGTCAGTGCAAAGCTCGGCCATGTTGGTGTTGTCTCTTTCTTGGCCTCTAGATGGTCGGTTTCTCAAGTAGGTAGGTAATTCGTAGTCGTTGAGTACTTATTCCCTGAGGCGGGCAGTGGTTCTAGCAAGTATCATATGATGGCAGTAAGCGGAGACTGGAGATTCTGATTGGTTCTCAGCGGAGTATTATGTTGGCGGATGAAAGTTTGCGCGATTACTAGTAGTCGTAAAGAAAGTGCTCCTGCTGAGGTACATCTGTTGCAGGTGTGATAAATCGACTTGTTTTTTTGTGCGGAAGCAAGGTCGAGTCGTGTTCCAAAATCCGAACAGACATCACCCATCCTCCAGAGTACCAACCATGCGACTTCAAGACCCC